TTCTGTCGGTGTCTTTTTTTTTTTTTTTTTTTTTTGCTTTTAATTTGCTATTGGGTGCATATGCTCATGAGAGAAAGATAGAGAGGGAGAGAGGGAAAGTGAGAATGCACCCCCTAAGGTGAATGACCAGCTACTATCCCTTTTTCTCCCTTCTCCTCTCAGGATTTTGGGCATGCACGCACATGTGTCCAGTGTGTTTTTCAAGTCTCTGTTTCTAGCACTTGAACCGTGTAGTTCAGGTACTAGCACGTCACCCCGATTGGCCCTGCTGACATAAAATTTTGAAAACCGTTTTGGGACCAGCAGTTAGCATAATGGCTATGTCGCTGGGCTCCCATGTAGCCGACCACAGTTCGAGTCCCGGACCCGGTGGCTTAAACTCAAGCTGGGCACATGTGCGTGTGTGCCCAAGATCCCAAGAGGAGAATAGAGGAGAAAGGATTGCGGCATGGCCATCCCCCCTGGGGGGGGATTTCTAGCTTTCTGTCTCTCTGTCTCTGTCTTTGTGCCAACTGCTTGCGCCCTATAGCAAAAACCTTTCCAAAAAAAGAAGAAAACCATTTTGATAGATAGGGAGGCAAGGAGAAAGAAAGTTTTATTTTCAACAGTTTTTATAGAAATAGATATTCAGTATTACTGGCTGGTACATCCTATGGGGGTATCTCAACTTTATATTACATTTTTTGCTTATTTGTGAGCACATGCATACACATGTAAGAGAAAGAGATAGAAAGAGAGAGAGAGCGAGGGAGGGAGAGAGAGAGAGAGATGAGCATGCTTTGCAGGGTCTGGTCATGCCATGATCTCCTTCCTGCAGTCCTCCAGGCTGTCAGATCTTGGGCGATCACACACACACCCAGCGTGTCTCAGGCTAACTAGGCTGGAGATTTCAACTGTGGTCACCATCTGGGATCCCTCTGCTCTCAGAGCAGCACATCACCGTAGTGCCGCAGAGCCAGCCCCGTGTTATATGTGTAAGAGGAACATAGCATTCTGGATAGGATTTGTCATGCTGGCTAAAATGGTTAATTTAATCAGATACAAATCTTTAAATTCCAACATAAGACTATTTTATTATGACACTAACTAATTCATTGATACGTACTAACATGAAATAGAACATATCCTATCCCTGGGCCTACTCTGTGGCCTGTTGACCAGCTGGAGTCCCCACATAGTTGAAATCCCAGCGGCTTAAGAAACACTCTGGATGTGTGTGTGACCATGCCCAAAATCCCAAAGGAGGGAAAAAGAGAAGGAATTGCAGCTTGACCATTCCCCGTGGGGTGCTTTTTCCTCTCCATTTCTGTCTGTCTCTCTCTGGTGAATTCACACACCTGCTAGCAAAACAAACAAACAAACAAAAACAAAAACAAAAAACAAAAACAAGAACAAAAAAAACCACAAATAAATAAAAAGAAAGAAAGAAAAAAGAGAGAGAGAGAGGAAGGAAGGAAAGAAATATACTAGCTCCAATGCAAAAGTCCTAGACCTAAAAAGTATGTGACAGTCTTTGTAGACCCTTGGAAAAGACACTTAACTTGGCTTTCGTTTCTTGTAAAGTGAAGGCATTTCATCTGCCTCACACTCCCGTTTCTGAAACAATATTGACTCTGTGTATTTCTAATTCCTTTCTTTTTATTGTAGGATTTTAATATAATTGAGGAAGCCCTTATCCGAAGAGTCTTAGACCGGTCACTTCTTGAATATGTGAATAACTCAAACACCACGTAATTGTATTAAAAAGAAGCTAAAGGGGGGACTACTTAATCACACCGTTTAAAATGCTGCTTGAATAATTGGAAAGAAATTGTCAACATTTGATGGACACAAGTGTTCAACACAGTTATATCTTTGTCCAAAATTATTGTAATACTGCATTTAAAAACTGCTTTCTTTTTGATGGTTTAAATGTTTTACATTTTTGATTTTCTTAGACATTTAACAACATAAAGCAGTCGCCATTGGTCATTAATATTTGGAATAGAGATAGCCTGGGTATGTGGATTGGAGGATCTCTATTTACAAATTGGATGACAATGTGTGTAGCTGTATATTAATAATTTTCATCACGTTTTGGCAAGATAACCAATCTTCATTCTATGTAAAAAGATGGAGTGTGAAACAAAGTGCAGACATTCAAGGAAATATGAAATCTGTTCCAATACTTTGGTTCTAAACTCTAAGAGGATAATGTGAGTAATCTTGTATGGGAGGAAAAGAAGATTTTGGAAGGCAACAAAATCCATATAACCAAATTGTATTATCTAATACTGTAACAAAATAAATGTGCTAGAAATGTATAATTAAGTTTTTGATTTTTTTATAACTATGCACACGTGAGAATTTACTGTTATTTTAAAAAATATTTGTAGCTTATTATTTAGATAATCTTTCTATAATATAGGCAATTTCTTAAGAACCATTCACTGATATTTACAATAAAAGTTGTCACATCCATAATTTTTAGTGGAAAACCCTAAGGGCTTTGATTTTTTAAAAAAATTTTAATCTTTTGATGGGCCAGTTGGTGGCATGGTGGACTTCCACATGGCTAAATGTGGTTCGAGTCCCGGACCTGACGGCTTGCTTTCTCACTTCCATTCTCTCTGCCTCCTTTTCTTTTTCTCTGGTGAGCATGTGTGCAAATGAAAAATACTACCAATACTACTAAAAATAATGAAAATTGTAAGACACAAAAACTGAAAACCAGACATGAAATTTATAGTTTAATGTATTATTATAAGGAAATAATCTTTTAGAACTCTGTCATTCACCCATGTCCTCTTTGTGTCTAACCGGTCACAATTACAGTCTGACAAAAGTGACCACTGCACTGATTTCAACAAGTACTTCCTTGTATTTCTTTATTATTTTGTCACCCAAGAACATATCTATTTTGGGAACCAGCAGTTAGCGTAATGGCTATGTCGCTGGATTCCCACGTAGTCGACCGCGGTTCACGTCCTGGACTCGGTGGCTTAGAACTCACGCCGGGCGCGTGTGCGTGCATGCCCAAGATCCTGAGAGGAGAATGGAGGAGAAGGGATTGCGGCGTGACCATCCCCCCTGGGGGGTGATTTCTCGCTTTCTGTCTCTATGTCTCTCTCTGTCTGTCTGGCGAGCACACGCGCCCTATAGCAAAAACCTCTCAAAAAAAAAAAAAGAACATATCTATTTTGATTTTATCTGTTTAATTAATTAATTTATAGCATTGGAGAAGTTTTTGCTATAGGGCGCGTGTGCTCGCCAGACAGACAGAGAGAGACATAGAGACAGAAAGCGAGAAATCACCCCCCAGGGGGATGGCCACGCTGCAATTCCTTCTCCTCCATTCTCTTCTTGGGATCTTGGGCACTCATGCACACGCGCCCGGAGTGAGTTTAAGCCACTGGTCTGTGACTCAAACCGAGGTCGACTACATGGGAGTCCAGCAACATAGCCATTACACTAACTGCTGGTCCCAATATTTTTCTTATTAGCTGTATTTTCTTTATTCATGATAGAGTACATGCATATATGTCAGAGTGAGAGAGAGAGAAAGAGAAAGGGAAAGCGAGGCACCCTCAT